GGTATACATAAGGATTCATAATGCCTGACACAAAGACTACATAACACATTCATTTGTGTTTATTTAACATTTACACTGAGTGTACAAAACATTAAGAACATGACATAGACTGACCAGGTGAATCCAGGTGAAAGCTATGATCTCTTATTGATGTCACTTGTTAAATCCACTTCAATTAGTGTAGATGAAGGGGAGGAGACAGGTTAAATAATGATTTTTAAGTATTGAGATAATTGAGACATGGATTGTGTATGAGTGCCATTCAGAGGGTGAATGGGCAAGACAAAATATTGAATTGCCTTTGAACGGGGTATGGTAGTAGGTGCCAGGCGCACCGGTTTGTGTCAAGAGCTGCAACGCTGCTGGGTTTTTCACACTCAACAGTGTATCAAGAATGGTCCACCACCCAAAGGACATCCAGGCAACTTGACACAACTGTGGGACATTGGAGTCAACATAGGCCAGCATCCCTGTGGAACACTTTCGACATCTTGTAGAGTCCATGCCCTGACGAATTGAGGCTGTTCTGAGGGCAGAACGGGTGGGTGCAACTTAATGTGGTGTTGCTAATGTTTGGTATACTCAGTGTATAACGGCCTTCATGAGTTCAAACACTCATAATGCTTGATTGAAGTATTTCCTCGTAGCCAGCCCTTTAAATTTGTGTCTGACTGATTGACGGTAAATTGGCCAGTTATGTGGCTGATGATGAACTACTACATTTAGTGCCAACTCTGTCTCCATCCACTCCAGAGGGTCTATTTTAGGCAATGCCACTCATACTCAGAGTATAACAACGATAAGGGCTCATCATGAATGGACGGCACAGCACTCACCACGCTTACACCCGATGGTGCACGTTAATGAGATGCATGTGCCATGAGTCAGCTGGAGCGGCAACTGTTGGAGAGGCGTTGCTGTCACACGTTCCACTACCAGATCACACGTTCCACTACCAAATCACACTTGGGCAATGGGCACCTACTCACATCACGTTACCACAGAGGATGTCAGTGAAGGGTGTATAGCACTGGGCAAGGGTCCTCTCTTCCAAGTCATTGGCAGGGATTACACAAGTCTTTTATAGATTTTACACAGCTGATTTTACGAAGATGATTATGTAACACCAACAACCACCACCTGTATCTTTCTGCAGTGGATAGCCATAGAGGAAAGGACACCACTCTCCGGTAGAGCACTTTTGGTATCACCTTATACAAAACCAGTTCATCCTTATAATATACAGACAGAGGTAAAGACAGAGAGAAAACCTGTTCATTATATTACACAAAGGACAAGAAACAGCTAGGGACAAAACCTGGGAGAGAAAAAGGCTTGGGGTGAAAGAGGTCACAGGGAGTAAAGAGGGAAAGACAAAGTAAGAGGAGGAAAAAGGTTAAAATAAAAATAAAGTAGCTTACAGAGAATGATTTAAGAGAGCATATCAGGCACAGGCAAAAGAATGGGAAAGGAAGGTGGGGGAAAGTGGGATACCTAGTCAGTTGTACAACTGAATGCATTCAACTGAAATGTCTCTTCCGCATTTAACCCAACCCCTCTGAATCAGAGAGGTGCGGGGGGCTGCCTTAATCGACATCCACGTCTTCGGCGCCCGGGGAGCAGTGGGTTAACTGCCTTGCTCAGGGGCAGGACAACAGATTTTTACCTTGTCAGAATAGAGAGAGATGGAATCAGGGTTGAGGTAAATTCCATTTAAATTCAGTCAAGTTCAGGAAGTAAACTGAAATTCTAAGTCCAATTTTCCTCAATGAAAAGAAATTAGGAAAATTGTAATTGTAATTCAGTTTACTTCTTGAATTTGACTGAATTGAAATGGAATTCACCTCAACCCTGTTCAGAATAGAAAGAATCAGCTCTGTACATCTGTTTGTATTCCTCTGAGATAAGATTTATACCATTACCACAAGAGGGATTAGTGTAGGTAGCTGTGATCGCATTCTAATGGCATAGACATAGTATGGTTTATTTCAGATCAGACATTCAATAAGACTGATGGATATTAAACTAAAACGATAGCATATATTAATTCATAATAAAATGCATGTATCAGTTCTGCTTGAAACCTGTGCATAACACAATAGAAGATACAGTATATTTAGTTATACGTGTGCACAATGTGAAAAAATATCAGGTTCACATTAGACTATGGTATTAGCGACCTTTTGAGGGGCAGTGTCATTGAAAGCATAGTACAGTTTGTCAATATTCACCCAGAACATGATTTTTTTCATCATTAAAAACTAGAGGTTTTGTGTGGCCAGTTATTTGAAACAGATCCTCACTATTCAACACACCTGTGTTCAAATAGTATTTGTTTTCCTTCAAATACTTGAGCTAAGCTTGAATGAACTTGCTTGGTGCAATGGAACCAATTGAATAGCAAATGCAGGCTCGATAAAACGCTCAAAGTGTTTGATAAAAATATAGACTATTTGAGCCCAGGTCTGCTTGTGTGGACCAAATCCCACCACAACCATGACATGAGCTGATGTAGACCCCTAGAGGCCTTGCCATTGACTCTTGGGTACTATATTGATATTGATTACTGCATTGTTGGTTTTAGAGCTTGCAAGAAAGGCATTTCACTGTCCTTGTGCATGTGACGTTCAAACTTGAAACTGGGTCGAAGACAAATCCATCCAACGTGAAATCAGTGGTATGATGACACTAGGTATGCAATGGGTATAGCTTTCTGTATACCTGTGTGTGTGTGTGTGTTGCACCTGGAACTGAGGCCAGTCAGTGGGCATGCCCGGTCTATCCCAGCTAGTATATTTGGTTCCTTGGAAGTTGTGGGAACGTACGTTTTTGGTTCCCCATTGACTCTGGGAACAAAGCCATACTGATCGGTAAAAAGGAAAGTTTTTTTGAACGTTCTAGGAACGGAAGTGAAGATTTAGCCTTTTCTGGGAACGTAGATTTTTAGGTTGCAGGGAGGTTCTGAACATTTTACTATGGTTTTATTAATGTTCTGAGAACCAAAATTATAGGTTATTTGAAGGTAATTCAATAACGTTCAGAGAACATGTATCAATAAGACTTTCAATAACACTGCTAGCTTAGTTTAGGTTTACAGTTTTGAACTCCAAGCACAGATAGGACCCATGGAAATTCCTTTGCTTAGACATTAATCATGCAAACACATTTCTTTTTTATTGTGGCACGGCATCAGTGAGATTCAAACCTATGATCTTCTGTTCTCTATCCAGGGAATTAGTCCACTGCGCCATCAGGATGGAGCTAGCACTGTGTTTTTTTTTGTTTTTTTACTGTTAATTTTAGTCGATTCAAACAAGCACTCATTAAGATCAGGTGTGGCCAATTAGTCGGCACGGCCAACACACCTGACCACACTTAAAAAGATAGCGGATAGAGAGAGTTTTATTGATGATGAGAACGGAATGTAAATGTTTTTAAATAACATTCTTAGAGCGTTCTGTTAACGTTACTAAAGTGTTCTTATAGTTTTCTTAAAGTTCTCGAATTAATGTGAAAACATTACTTTAAATAGAACCAGGAGGAAATTTCTGTAAGAAATGTTATGCTGAAGTACTGAAATTCCCACAGAAAAACGTTGTCTCTTAACGTTTTCTGCCAGTTTGAGAACACTCCCAATGTCAAACCAGTTGGAGAACGTTCCTAGAACATTACCAAAATTGAAATGAAATGTAACCATGTTTGAACTTCTAGGAAAAATAAAGTAAGAAAATATATATATTTTTTTTGTGAAGTTCCTTAAATATGCTGAGAATGTTCCAAAGCCAAGCAACTATCCTGCACCATTCCCAGAAAGTTGTGGGAAAGTTGTATGCAAAATAACCATAGGACAACCACGCCCTCACCAAGCTCTAAGAAACATATGGTTCTCATAACGTTATGTGCTTGCTGGGGTGTGTGTGTGAAAATGTGGCTGAGGGTGAACACGTCTGTGTGTGTGTGTGTTAGTGTGTGGTATGAATGAATCAGGGAGACTCAGTGCGCACACAGTGCCTCTTCCGCCTCCTCCATCGTGACGCGGAAGAAAACCCCACTAGCACTCTACAAAAACCATCCAATGCAGACACTATATAGAAAGATAGAAAAACAGAGAAAGAAAATTAAAGCAAAAAACATAGACTAACTTGTGGAGGTGACCTGAGTGACTCTTGTGTTTGCCTGAAGTTTAACTTGTTAGTTAACATTTTTTAAGGATGAACACAAAGTTGTGATTCAGAAGTAATGAAATATACAGTAGTAATGGGGGGTAGAGAGGGAGGGATAAAGAAAGAGAGGGAGGTATAATTACAGTGAGGCAAAAGAGAGAGTGTTGAGAGTGAGAGGCACTCTAACCCTGCCCACTTCTACAAAGCCATTCAACTCCGATATAGTGAGCTCTCTGAGGCTTCTCCAGTGCTGTGCACATCAGCAGGACAGGACACCGCCACACTTCTTTTTGAAGGACTAAACTAGAGTGGACACTCTCTCCCAAACACTTCATTTTTACAAAGACTGGACGGAGTGGACAAGACATTTTGTTTTAGACAGTAAACCTGCTTTTACCAACTGGACAAAACAAGAGGAATGGTTTTATAAAGCCGAGAGGAGACGCTTGCTTTTCTGGACTTTACAGGAGAAGTGGTTTATGAGGACTGGAGCAAAGACATGGTTTGTGAGGACCAAGTAAAGATAGTGAAGTGCTTTACTCCATAAAGAGTAATACAAGGGCACTGCTAGGTCTCAAAACCTGCATCTCTACTTTCCAACATCCAACTTTTTGAAGCTAGCAGCACCTTTCTAAGAGAAGGATTGTACTTTTCGCTTTGCTGGTGTCGGTGAAACCCCATCAACACCTTGTGAATCGGGAGAGATAAGGTGAGGAGAGCTGTCCGGTGTCCTGCTTCTCTTTCGTCACCCTCGCCGCGGGTGCCGCTGTCCTCTACTCACCCTTCTCCAGGGAGTGTGTGTGTGCGCGTGTGTGAGTCGGCGCTCTGTGGCACAGGATGCACTCGTTAGCCGCGTTGGCCGGGGTGTTGGCGTTGCTTCTCGCCAGGCTCCAGACAGGATGTGGCTCCCCTAATGTGGCGGGACCATTGGCAGCGGTGGATGGGGCTACGCCGGAGCAGGGGCTGGGGCTGGTGGAGGAGACCCAGGTGACCCACTGTCCGTCCTGTGTGCTGGCCCAGATGAGGAGGGGTTATGACCCGGTCCCTCCTGGATTTGAGTCAGCATCTGAATCTGCATCTTTGACTTTGGCTCAGACTTTGGGCCAGACGGACATGGTTGAAGCGGTGAAGCGGCACATCCTCAACATGCTCCACCTGAGTGCACGGCCCAATGTCACGCACCCGGTGCCGCGCGCTGCCCTGCTCAACGCCATCAAGAAACTACACGTGGGACGCGTGGGCGAGGACGGCAGCGTGGAGATCCAGGAGGAGGGACTGGGGGGCGCTGGCCATGAGGGGGTGGCACTGCCCGAGCCGCCCTCTGAGATCATCACCTTTGCCGAGCCAGGTGAGTCAGCCATTTTGTGTGCCTCTGTGTGTGTGTTTGTGTGGTTAGCACTTACAGTAATAACATGAATTACTTTCTTGATTTGTTTGGTTCATTTAATGAAGCACCACTCGGCACCATTAAGTACCAGCTTGTTATCACTTATGTTGAATCCTTTGTAATAGTACCTGAAAGTACTCACTGTTATCACATAATTATTTCCTAATAAATAACAGGTAAACCAGTGGAAACAGTAGTTTAAAACGGCAGTGCAGTCCCAAAAAAATGCAATCTTTTTAAATGATATTTTCACACTGAGGTCGAAATAACACTCTGAAATTGTGAAAATTATGATGAGACCCTTTTAGTTTAATTTCAGCCTGTTTGATGGAATTATTCACAATCTGATCTGATTATTCTGACCAATGACCAGTCATCTTTTATTTGCATATGTATCCTCCTACTTTGAAGGTCTAAGCTGGGTGTGTATGTAAATATATTTACATTTGTATCATCATGATCAGACTGAGCATTTCCATGAAATAAGTTATTTTCATGAAATAAACACACACAGGGATTTATTAGACATACAGTGATGATTTAAAAATGAAATTTAAAAGACTGCGAGGGGGCTTTAACATAACGTGCTACCTGCATGTGTAAAATATGTGGCTGCCTGGGTTTGGGACTGTAAATGTTTCAATATTGACGTGTGTCTGTGGTGCTTAAGGCTTTCTCTGAGAGGATTCCTTCGAACTTGTAGTCAACACGGCTTAGATTAAACTATTGACGTCCCTTTGCAGCTTCTTCGTTCGGGGGTTATGCACACCCACTACCCACGTGCCTTGGCATCCTTAGCTAGCACGAGTTACCCACGCTTAAGCGAGTGTCGACTGCGGCTTTTGACTCCGATGATTTCAGTGTGTACTCAGCTGCTAGAGAGCACTTAAGGATTTTACAAAATATGTTTGCCAGGTCGTCATTGGAAATAAGAATTTGTTCTTAGCCGGCTTGCCGGGTTAAATAAAGGTTACATGAAATGTTAGTATGAGATTAAGAACAAGGAATTGTAAATTATGTGACATGCCAGATGTGTATAAATGTAGTTGAAGATGGATTATAATTCATGACTCAATTAATATTCGGAGTATTAGTATGTGCATGCGTCTGTCTGTTCCTCCATCCTCCTCTCTTGGAGTGAGTGTGTATGTGTGCGGGCACATCAACGGTAACAATTCATTTCTCCATAGCCATATCCAGGAAAATCATATGCATTTCTCCGCTGTAGGTCTTGCCGATTTAAACAGGGTAGCGACTTGGGTCACACTTTATTAGTATAGTCCCATATAGATGATCTACAGATGGTCATACTATCAACAAACAATCTGTTGATAAGCAACTCCTTGCTAAGGTTAAGGTTAGAATAATGGCACCTTATATCGATGCAGAAAACTTCACTGTACATCTGTATCCTAATGTATATGTGTTCAGCGCGTAGGAACTGAAAGTTTACAAGTTTTTGCATTTCAGGCCTCGGTTTTCAGCATTTTACAGCAACGGGTCAACCACTTGATTGAGATACGTCAACCACGTTCACATCTATTGTTGGGAATTTTCATATTCAGGTGTGAAGTGGATGAATCAGAGATGAGATCAGACAATGATGCGAAAACAACAATAGGAAAGGTTTAATGCATCGGAACTATGAACATGTATCCCCTCCACGTGCAACAGCGTGCTCTCAAGCGCTGCACGCCACCCCAACGAGGGGGGTGCTCCGATTCTGGAGGCTCTCCTGATTGCGGGCTGGCCATTGTGTATGGCAGCAGAGCGGCGCAACAAGCGTGTGACAAGCATATTCCTCTCCTGCTTGTTTGCTTACATAAATGTGCATAACGGCTTGGTGCTATAAATAAATGAGAGTGTGAGTCGAAGGGCCCGACCAACATACCCGCGGGGCTCCTAACCATACATAATCACTTCATTCATCCAAATATGGGCCCCAATAATTACTTTGGGCTGTGTGGAGGCTATAAGTGAAGATGGGGGGGGGGGGGGACGAGAGAGGGAGAAAGAGAGAGAGAATAAAGAGAGAGAAAGAGGGGGGGACCAGGAGAGAGAGAGAGAGGCGCCTGCCACCTCTCACAGCGATCAGCACTGTCTTCTCTGAATGAAGAGTCAGGAACCAATAACACAACATCGTTAATGACATTCCATTCTCTCTTGGAAGATGAAGATGCTTTTCTTTTTTTTCTTTTTTCGCTGCGCTATCTAGCCAAATATATTTAGAGGCGCTTCGCTTTCAAGCTATTGTATTCTCCCCGTTTTGTTTATTCATTCGTTCATTACAAGTAAAAGGAAAAAGAGATAGAGAGCCTTGCTAGGGAGGGAGGGATTTCTGTTGTCGAAAATGTATAAATAGAATTTAGTGTTGTTGGGTTTTACTGTACATGCATATTCATATGAGATATAAGTTGCTCCCTTTTCAATATGTTTATGGTTAATAATGCCTAATTAACAACAAAATCCCCCAAAGCACCCCCAAAAAATTGACAAACCTGACTGTTTTGGTGGTGACTGTGTTTTGTTTGGTTAGCTAAAGTAGGTGTCCTATTTGTTCGTGATAAATTCGATGCGATTCCCAGGACACCACTGAGCACCAGCTATGCACGACAATTCCCCAAATGGTCCTAGAACAGGTGGAATTTTCACTTCCGTTCTCAGAACGTTTAAAAAACGTTCAGTTTTACTGGTCAGGAAATGTATGACTTTGTTCCTAGAACCAATGGGAAACCAAAAACATACGTTCCCACAACTTCCAAGGAACCAAACGTGCTAGCTGGGTAGCTATATACATTTTTGAGATGGTTAAAATAACACTAAGTGTGTGTTTAAAAGTATTAAACACTAATAGTTATAACATTAGTAGAGATTATTTACTACTTGTGGTTTTGCTGTGCAGATCCTCATGCGCCTTTTTGAAGTGCTATCTGATACTGGACACTGGAAGTGCTACAGGAGAGGATTGAACTTTAATTTAGTGAGATGTAATGGAATTCTATACCCAGGCACAATTGAATTTAGTCCAGGACAAAGTATCCATTATTGTGGTCACCTAAAGATTATTTATCTGTTGTTATCCTTCGTGGGATAGAGGAGTTAGCGAGCTAACTTTGGTCAATTCTGAGTTCAACTCGGGATAACCGTTGACACTAAGGTGGCTCACCTTTCACCCATGCAGGTACATTTCTATGGCAACAGATCCTTCAGCTCTAACCTGCTCCTAGGCAGGCTAACTCCACTTTATCCTGAGTGTCTGAGTTGTGCTTCCGGAGGCTTCCTTCCGGCGTTGTGCCTCTTTCCTTAGAATAGGTCTGTGTGCAATGTGAGATGGGCTGGCATATGGGGATGTGTGTTGGAGTTGTGTGTTGTTACGTGACGGGTTGCACACGGTTGACCTTTGGCTCAAGTGCAGCGTGGTGACAGTGGAGAGACTCTTCTCAGTAGCTCTCTGTAGACAGGCCACCACTCCTGGGTCGATTTTAAAATGTAGGCCTAAACAAGCGTTTCTTATTGGACAAGTTCAGGTAGCTACTTTTCTAAAACATTTTCTCCCTACTTGACATGACCCAGGGCTGTGGCTTGTGGGCAACCCACAAAGGCCCTCTCGATCCTGCAGGACTAGGAGAGATTAAAGAAGACCGTTTGTGTTGTGGGTTAGAATGTCCTACACGCTCTGATTACCTCAAGTTTGTTTGAGAGTATGAGATTAAAGGGGATCTGTTTTAGAAATAACACTTTATAAGAGCTTTCATGAAAAAGGATGAGTAAATGAGTATTTTATTTATAAACATTTATTCTAAGCAATATAAACATTACATTCATAAGTTTGTATAACATTTATTTTTAAAAAAGAGCATTATTAGGTGCAACTGTGAACAATAGCCATATCAGACAATGAATACGTCCAATTGTCTGGTGTCCATGAGGCTGTCCTAATATGGACACCGTATACGTGTCCAATCACTGCATCTCCAGGACTCAATCCTACAGCTTATTCATGAAAGTAACTAGGAGGTTATTACAAAATGTAACAGGACTCACCACAACTCTCCCATAGCCCATTGCTTTCCAAAGTAAACAGATACCAAAGTGACTGTGGAAGTCCGAGCCCAACTAATCAGACATGACAGACCCTGAACAAATACAGTCTTGTACAAACAGAGTATGGAGTTTGAATAGAATGGACTGTCCACTGTCAATAGCATGCATAATACACTATATATACAAAAGTATGTGGACACGCCTTCAACTTAGTGCATTCGGCTATTTCAGCCATACCCGTTGCTGTCCGGTGTATAAAATCGAGCACACAACCATGCAATCTCCATAGACAAACATTGGCAGTAGAATGGCGTTACTGAAGAGCTCAGTGACTTTCAACGTGGCACCGTCATAGGATTCCACCTTTCCAACAAGTCAGTTCGTCAAATTTCTGCCCTGCTAGAGCTGCCCTGGTCAACTGTAAGTGCTGTTATTGTGAAGTGGAAACATCTAGGAGCAACAACGGCTCAGCCGCAAAGTGGTAGGCCACACAAGCTCATAGAATGGGACCACCGAGTGCTGAAGCGTGTAGCGCATAAAAATCGTCTGTCCTCGGTTGCAACACTCACTACCGAGTTCCAAACTTCGTTGCACAAGAACTGTTCGTCGGGAGCTTCATGAAATGGGTTTCAATGGACAAGCAGCCACACACAAGCCTAAGATCACCATGCGCAATGCCAAATGTTGGCTGGAGTGATGCAAAGCTCGCCGCCATTGGACTCTGGAGCAGTGGAAACGCGTTCTCTGGAGGGATGAATCACGCTTCACCATCTGGCAGTCCGACGGACAAATCTAGGTTTGGTGGATGCCAGGAAAACGCTACCTGCCCCAATACATAGTGCCAACTGTAAAGTTTGGTGGAGGAGGAATAATGGTCTGGGGCTGTTTTTCATGGTTCGGGCAGGCCCCTTATTTCCAGTGAAGAGAAATCTTAACGCTAAAGCATACAATGTCATTCTAGACGATTCTGTGCTTCCAACTTTGTGGCAACAGTTTGGGGAAGGCCCTTTCCTGTTTCAGCATGACAATGCCCCCGTGCACAAAGTGAGTTCCATACAGAAATGGTTTGTGGAGATCGGTGTGGAAGAACTTGTCTGGCCTGCACAGAGCCCTGGCCTCAACCCCATCAAACACCTTTGGGAAGAATTGGAACGCTGACTGCGAGCCAGGCCTAATCGCCCAACATCAGTGCCCGACCTCACTAATGCTCTTGTGGCTGAATGGAAGCAAGTCCCCGCAGCAATGTTCCAACATCTAGTGGAAAGCCATCCCAGAAGAGTGGAGACTGTTATAGCAGCAAAAAGGGGACCAACTCCATATTAATGCCCATGATTTTAGATTGAGATGTTCGTCGAGCAGGTGTCCACATACTTTTGGTCATAGAGTGTATCTCTCCTTTAGCCCAAAGCTCTATTTGATACACAGAGTAAGCATTTGAATTTATTTAAAGAGGCTATACGGCTTGCTCTTAAGCCAAAAGAGGTTCCCTAAATGGACAGAAATATTTCTCAGAAATGACCTTATTGGACAGAAAGGGAACACCTACAGTCAGCATTTCTGTACAGCCTTTTTTAGACATACTAGGTTTTATTTTAGCAGAGCCCAAAAAACATGCATGCGTTGCCTAACCAAAATGACTGTGAACATTTGAAGCATTGCTCTCATTGTGATGACTAAATGCCTTATTCCCTTTCCTGCTCTAGGCAACTCTCCATCTGCCGTGATCTTTGACATTTCCAAGGAGGGCAGCGAGTTCTCGGTGGTGGAGCAGGCCAACGTGTGGCTCTTCCTGAAGCTGGCCAAGGGGCAAGGGCGAGGCAAGGGCAAAGTGAACATCCAGCTTCTGCAGCGCCGCCGGCAGAAGCTGAAAGCTCCAGGCTCTGCCTCCACCTCCACCGAGACCCAGGGCGAGGAGGAGGAGTTGGTGTCGGAGAAGATGGTGGACACGCGGCGCAGCGGCTGGCACACGCTCCCCGTACCACGCAGCATCCAGTCCCTGCTGGATGCCGGTGGCAGCGTCCTGGACCTGCGAGTCTCCTGCCCCCTGTGCACCGAGGCGGGCGCCACACCTGTCTTGGTCCCCGCCGAGGGCAAGCAACCGGGACGGGAGCGGGAACAGTCCCACCGGCCGTTCCTCATGGTCGTACTGCGGCCTGGCGAGGAGGAACACGCTCACCATCGTGCCAAACGTGGCCTGGAGTGCGACGGCAAGATGCACATGTGCTGCAAGAGGCAGTTCTACGTCAACTTCAAGGACATCGGCTGGAACGACTGGATCATTGCGCCGCCGGGCTACCACGCCAACTACTGCGAGGGTGACTGCCCCAGCCACGTAGCCAGCATCACGGGTTCCTCGCTGTCCTTCCACTCCACTGTCATCAACCACTACCGCATGCGGGGCTACGCGCCCTTCCAGAACATCAAGTCGTGCTGCGTGCCCACGCGACTACGCGCCATGTCTATGCTCTACTACAACGAGGAGCAGAAGATCATCAAGAAGGACATCCAGAACATGATCGTGGACGAGTGCGGCTGCTCGTAAGAGACAGTACAGAGCAGTAAAGACTCATCCATAATAAGAAGGCACCATTAGTATGATGGACATAATATAGCAGGTATGATGGACAATGGATGTTGGCGTTTTTCCCTTCAAACAAAAACAAGGCATTTTTTGGGAGTTCAATGACTGATCTGTTGTTTTGTCTCATTATCTGACGGGGTATCGTGAAATTGGAATAGTCTCTGTGGCACTTTCAGATAAAAAAGAGATACATATTCTATTTTTGTTAAATGGAGACCAAGAGTGGCACTACTTATCACTGTTTATGCGCAATGTGATTCCTGCTTCTCTGCATTGCAATGAACATGGAACAGTTCCCTGAAGAAAGAAACTATGCAACTGATAAAATATTACGATGTGTTGTATTTTTGTTCATGTTTCTTTATATGTGTGTTTTGTTTCTTAATTGTATACAAGGAAGACTTTTTGATACTTTTTTTCTCCAAATGTGTTTCAAATGTTTGTATTGTTATTGTTGAGAGATACTTGAAAGAAATAGGTTTGACCAGCTACTGGAGCCAAACACTTATATAATTATTAACAAGGTTTATTATTATTATTATTATTAATTTCTGAACTACTTTGTCTTTGTACATAAAAATAATGAATGTTGAAATTTGCACTATACCAACATTCTTGCCAGCTTGATCACATTGACGGTAACTGGCATTAGGGCATGAAGAGATACTATTTCAAGAGAAGACAATACACCAGACAAATTGAACACATAAACAGCACATACTACAGCTACGGGCAGTCTCTCAATCAAAGTAACGCCAAAGATAGGAGCACCATTAACTTTCAATATGAGCTATTTACCAGAAGGACAATCTCTACTAAAGCGTCTCGATTAATCTTCCTAACAACTAGTGATGACAAAGAAAAGAAAATCACTTTGACCAGTGTATGAAAATTGTGAAACTAACACTTCAAAGAGTCTGAAAATCTCTTCCAATGGTTAAATCAATTTGGTATGACTTTTTTCCTGCTTCTTTTGTTCAACACTTCTTTCCAACTGAAATTGGAGAGCAGTGGTGTTCCAAACATATGACATATATGATGATATTTATCACATGACATACAGTACCAGTCAAAAGTTTGGACACACCTACTCATTCAAGGGTTTTTCTTTATATTTTATTTTTTTACTATTTTCTACATTGTAGAATAATAGTGAAGACATCAAAACTATTAAATAACACATATGGAATCATGTAGTAACCAAAAAAGTGTTAAACAAATCAAAATATATTTTATATTTGAGATTCTTCAAAGTAGCGACCCTTTGCCTTGATGACAGCTTTGCACACTCTTGGCATTCTCTCAACCAGCTTCATGAGGTAGTCACCTGGAATGCATTTCAATTAACAGGTGTTCCTTCTTAAAAGTTAATTTGTGCAATTTCTTTCCTTCTTAACGCATTTGAGCCAATCAGTTGTGTTGTGACAAGGTAGGGGTTGTATACAGAAGATAGCCCTATTTGGTAAAAGACCAAGTCCTTATTATGGCAAGAACAGCTCAAATAAGCAAAGAGAAACGACAGTCCATCATTACTTTAAGACATGAAGGTCAGTCAATATGGAACATTTCAAGAACTTTGACGTTTCTTCAAGTGCAGTTGCAAAAACCATCAAGCGCTATGATGAAACTGGCTCTCATGAGGACCGCCACAGAAAAGGAAGACCCAGAGTTAACTCTGCTGAAGATGATAAGTTCATTAGAGTTACCAGCCTCAGAAATTGCAGCCCAAATAAATGCTTCACATAGTTCAAGTAACAGACACATCTCAACATCAACTGTTCAGAGGAGACTGCGTGAAGTAGGCCTTCATGGTCGAATTGCTGCAAAGAAACCACTACTAAAGGACACCAATAATAAGAAGAGATTTGCTTGGGCCAAGAAACACGAGCAATGGACATTAGACCGGTGGAAATCTGTCCTTTGGTCTGATGAGTCCAAATTGGAGATTTTTGGTTCCAACCGCCGTGTCTTTGTGAGATGCAGAGTAGGTGAATGGATGATCTCCGCATGTGTAGTTCCCACCGTGAAGCATGGAGGAGGAGGTGTGATGGTGTGGGTGTGCTTTGCTGGTGACACTGCCGGTGATTTATTTAGAATTCAAGGCACACTTAACCAGCATGGCTACCACAGCATTCTGCAGCGATACACCATTCCATCTGGTTTGCGCTTAGTGGGACTATCATTTGTTTTTCAACAGGACAATGACCCAACACACCTCTAGGCTGTGTAAGGGCTATTTGACCAAGAAGGAGAGTGATGGAGTGCTGCATCAGATGACCTGGCCTCCACAATCCCCCGACCTCAACCAAATTGAGATGGTTTGGGATGAGTTAGACCGCAGAGTGAAGGAAAAGCAGCCAACAAGTGCTCAGCATATGTGGGAACTCCTTCAAGACTGTTGGAAAAGCATTCCAGGTTAAGCTGGTTGAGAGAATGCCAAGAGTGTGCAAAGCTGTCGTCAAGGCAAATGGTGGCTACTTTGAAGAATCTCAAATATATTTGGATTTGTTTAACACTTTTTGGGTTACTACATGATTCCATATGTGTTATTTCATAGTTTTGATGTCTTCACTATTATTCTACAATGTAGAAAATAGTACAAATAAAGCAAAACCCTTGAATGAGTAGGTGTTTCCAATCTTTTGACTGCTACTGTATGTCATAAATGACAAACATTGAATGTCTTTGAATTTGGCTTGTTATCCTTCCAATGGCAAAAGAGAAGACACTGAAACAACACATTTGGACAACTTTACATACTCTTGAGTTACTGAAAATAAGGTGTTATATTGCTTTGTTGTACAAATCAGAACTGTTGCTTGTGGATATTTTTTTATATAATTTATTTGGCAGCAATTTTTTGCTTCATCATTAAACACAATGCGTTATACTAATTCTGTCTTGTGTTTCGTTTCAATTTTCGGTCACACTTTACTTAAAGCATCCAGGTATAATGCATTTTAATGCAGTTATGGAAACCTCAGAATGCTTTAACATTTATTTTTAAAGGGATACTGTGAGATTCTAGCAATTAAGCGTATGCTCACATATGCTACCGTACCTGTAGACTTCCAGTCATTGCGCTAGTACCTCTAAACTTTCTTCATACTGCACGCAGACAAACAAATTATATCCAGACGTTTTTCTGACTCTGGGTAAGTAGAAAACGGCTTAATTGCCAGAATCTTGCAGTATCCCTTTATTGTTTGTAAGTTCTCTTTCAATATGCTAACCTACTATGCAACTTCAATTTCATTATAGTATAATGTTCTAAGATCCTACTATGGCCTTCTCATTAAACCTTTAGGAACATTTATTTGAAGGTTCTGTACTCATAAAGCCGATTTCCCAGACACAGATTAAGCCAAGTAAAGGATTTAAATGCTATTTCAATGGAGATTCTTTATTTAGCATGCGTTTTAGTCCATTACCTAGGACCACTAGCACCATGCATAGTTCTGTACTCTGGTTTGGACACATGTAGAAAATGACGATCATATATTAGCTGTCTGCATTGGATTAGAAGGAGGTGGCTGCAATGATGCGTTTCCTGTTCCATGTGCTGCATGTGTGAACACGGACAGCTCCTGGGGAGAACTTCACAGCTATGGCACGATGTTTGGAGAAAGCATCTGGGTGAGACAAGGGCTCTGATTGCACACTCTGAAAACACATCCGTCGCTCCTCCCTTCCTTGAAGTAATCTATAGGACCTACAGTGGCCGGAGTAATATAGTTCCGAAATAAGTTTGATTGAAGTATGTGCTAAGACTTTTTGGTATGTTTGTAGAGTATGAATGAATGGAAACTAATTAGGTGCTAACGTTAGGAATATGCTAACAGTCCAAACTACTATACTCAAACATTTGATTGCTGTGATAAATCATTCATGGACTAATTTCAAGGTAAGAAAGAAGATTAAGACATTAAAAGTCAAAGGCTATGTCCTGAACTTCCAAGCGTGCACTTGCACACTTCCCGTCATGGATTTCACAATGGTGGAAACTTCCTCTAGCTAATGCTTACTCCAATTCCAATGCTTTTAAATTCATGACGGGGGAACAGGTTAGAAAATGTGCAAAATGACGCAAATAGTCCGGCAGGCTGTCTAAGACACATAGACATAAAGTGGCTACTGTGGAGCCAAAACCAGAGTGGGACACTCCCTGGCAGACAGACTAGCCCTGCCACAAAGCTGGTCGGCTGGATGCTTGTGAGTGACATTGAGCTGCAGTTTCAGGGCCTTGTCTGACCAAGAAGAAACAAAGCGAGCAGCAAACATTCCACAGGCTTCAAGGGCAACAGACTCAAGTGCTCGCTGATACCCCCTTGTAAGATGTCAAGGAGGAGGACGATTGGAGTGATTTGGTGAGCAGGCCTCAGAGGAGTGCTATCTCTTGGCCCTGAAGATGGCCAAGGGCCCCTTGTTGGCACGTGCTTGTTTTTGAGATCCCTGGATTGAAATATCCTGGGAGGGAATGTATTTAATGATGCTAAGGCTAACATGAGTTCCAATAAAGATTGCTTAAAGTAATTGTCCAGTGTTTCCAGATTTCTATGAAACATGACCTATAATGAATTACAATATGAGTGAAATAGTTTTCCTTAAAAAGCTTTTCTGTGTTGGAATGGTGTGCGCATACTCCACCAACAGAATGGTGTGGGTAAGCAGACCCGGAAGCAACTGCGGCCCCTCATGATAAGTTCAGATTTTTTGTGGCCCCCACCCCCATTAAAGTTACCCATCCCTACTCTATGAGGAAATAGCAAGCATTTTTTAAATGGTCTGTTTGAGGTGGGGTTTCTGAAGTGTTTTTTACTCCAATTTATGCTTTGGCCACAAATACGAGTATAGGATGAGTCAAAAATATTATTTGGTTATGAGTAACTTTTAAAAGTGAGATTTTCACTGGGCAGTTACTTTAAATATTAGGGGGGGGGGGGGGGGGGGGGTGCTCGAGG